CATCGTAAACCCATTAGAAACAATGGCTTGATGAAATCTCATATTCCACTGTCTGGATGATTGCTTTAAGCCATAAATAGATCGTTGAAGCTTGCAAACTTTGCGCTCCTGACCTACTGCCACAAAGCCTTCTGGTTGATCCATATAGATCTCTTCATCCAATTCTCCATTGAGAAATGCAGTCTTAACGTCCATCTGAAATAGCTCTAAGTCCAACTAAGCTACTATGGCCAGGATTAGGCGAATAGAGGCAAACCTTACAACTGGTGAAAAAGTTTCCTCATAGTTCACACCCTCTCATTGGGTGTAACCTTTCGCCACTAGGCGAGCCTTATACCTTTCTATGGAACCATCCGCCTTGCGCTTGATTTTCAGAACCCATTTGTTTCCAATAGTCTTGCGCCTTGGCGGCAAATCAACCAAGTCCCAGACATGATTTTTCTTCATAGACTCTATTTCTTCATCCATTGCAGTACTCCATTCTTTACTAGCAGGGGGTGAGAGAGCCTCTTTGAGATTCTTAGGCTCCATCTCATCACTCGGAGCAATCATGAATGCTTCCCCTTCAATCTCAAAACGACGACGGGGTATAGCTCCACGTTTGCTTCTACGTAGTTGAGAATCTTGAGAATCCTCATCCATTGGATCTAATCCATGGGCAGGTAGATCGTTCCCACTGTCCCTAGGAGCTTGAGGAATTATCTCCTCATTCTCTACTAGGCTACTAGGTGCGTCTTCAAGTAGATCCTTCTTCTCATAGTGTTCTACTTCTCTAGTTACCTCGCCTCTGCTAGGGAAATCCTCCTCTAGGAAATCCACATCTCGTGACTCAATTTCAATCACACTTCCATCCGGATGCTCCCCAACAAACACATAGCCCTTAGAATACTCACTATAGCGAATGAAGATACATTTCTTTCCTCTAGGGCCCAACTTCCCAAACTTATGAGAAGCATTGTGTATGTAAGCTGCCAAACCCCAAGGCCGCAAATTGCCCAAATCAGGCTTTTTGCCAGTCCACATCTCATATGGGGTGGAAGGAACTGATTTAGAGGGCACACGGTTAAGGACGTAGGCAGCAGTCAATAAAGCATCTCCCCAATAAGAAATGGGAAGATTAGCTTGCGCCATCATTGATCTAACCATGTCAAGCAATGTGCGATTCCTTCTCTCCGCTACACCATTTTGCTGCGGAGGCTTAGGAATTGCCAATTGCCTGATGACTCCTTTTTCTTTGCAGAGCACTTTAAATTGCTCAGATAGATACTCACGTCCTCGATCAGTCCTTAGAACCTTAATGCTCCTGTCTAATTGATTCTCAACCTCATGAACATACCGTCTAAAGCAATCCAATGTTTCTGACTTGTGAGAAATCAAATAAACATGACCAAAACGCGTGCAATCATCTATAAATGTGATGAAATAAGGGGCTCCATGTCTTGCCCTCACATTCATTGGTCTACATATATCAGAATGAATAAGTTACAATGGGACTGATGCCCTTATGGCTTTCCCAAATGGTTTCCTTGTTGCCTTACCAGCAAGACAGTGCTCACAAGTGGGCAAAGTGACTCTAGCGAGTGGGCCTAAAAGACCTTCTCTAGCCAATCTAGTCATCATGTCTTGCCCTATGTGGCCTAATCTGGCATGCCATCTCATAGAATCATTATCACAAAAAAATGCAATATTAGAAACAGAGCCATTGGCATTTTTATTAAGACTAGAATCATCCACATCCAAAACTAAAAAACCATCTGAAAGATAACCCAAACCATAAAAAATTGTTCCCAAACAAATGCTAACACCATTATTCTCAAAACAAAAACTAAAACCAAGGCTCATCATGCTAACAACTGAAACTAAGTTTCGCCGAATATCCAGAGCATAAAGAACATCATGAAGATACAAGGTGCGCCCTCGTCGTATTTCCAGCTTGAATGTGCCAATGCCAAGCACCTCCACACTGGACTCGTTCCCCATGTAAACTTTTCTGCTCCCAGCAGGTACTCGGCGATACTCAACGAACCCTACTATGTCCCTCGCGATGTGGTCTGTTGCTCAGGAGTCTACAACCCAAAAATGAGGAGAATGAGCAATTAATGCTTGACCAGACACAAAGCATTGAATGCGAGAAATTGAGTAAGGGAGTACCTTCTTCTGCTCAGGGCAATCCCGAGCGAAGTGTCCTTCTTTGTTACAGTTAAAGCATGTCAATTTAGCCTTTGCCTTCTTACCACCTCTCGTGCCCCTACGCTTGAAATTTCTAGCGCCATTGGGCTTAAGCGCAACTTCTGCTTGCTCCTTAGGGGCACCTTTTTCTTTTCCACGTTTGAACCGAGAAGTCCTACGTGAGCTTGACTCAACCACCATAGCAGAACCATCAGACTTAGCCATCTCAAGGCGCTCAGCCTCTAGCTCCAAATGACGCGATATGTCTTTGAATGTTTTCACACTCTCATTATACATCATGTTCTGCTTCATCTGCTCCCAAGAATTTGGCAGAGAGTGAATCACAGCTTGTACTTGCTACTCTTGAGTCAAATTGCGCCCAGCAGCCGCAAGCTCACGTATCATGGCTGACATGACCCTCAAATGCTGCTTCATCGAGTGATGCGCCTTTTTCTGATATGAGTCAAACTTCATAGTCAGCCCATGTAGCTTTGCCAAAGAGGTAATACCAAACTTTTGCTTGAGAGCTTCCCACATCTCAAATGCAGTCGGGCAATGCTCAAACTCACTAATAAGTCATTGTGCATGCTGCTCAACATAGTAAAGCACGCACACCGATCTTCGTTACGCCAAGTCTAAAAGGCTTCAAGATCACGACGATGTTGAGCTGTATTGCCCTGCTCTGGCTCGACCATCACTTGTTCAAGTGTGGTCAACACTTCTTGCTCATTGAGGAGGTATTGGATCTTACGACGCCATATGTCATAATTGTCGCCATCCAATTTCTCTCCCTTAGTTAAGTCTGCCGCCACTGTCTTAGCAGCCATTTCTACATATAGAGTAAACAAATGCGCAGGGGATATTAATGATAGCAACACAAAAAAAATTATTTTGCAACAAAAAACAGAATCTAAATTAAATAATGATAATTTTACACATTCCTCAAGATCGAAAATTTGTTATGCTCGTAATCATCTCTTGCGCCTCTAGTGATAATTATCAAAATTTAATTTAATTCCATGCGCAAAAAACAATCAATCAATCTCCCACTACTTACGGCATATACAAAGCATGATAAATTCCATACAATAACATCTTCATGTAGATTTCCAAATAATTCATGCTATATAATGTGTACATATATATACATGATTAAAAAAAACACGAAAATACCCAACTAAGGCTCTAATACCAATGTAAATCAGCAGTACAACGCAGCAGAATAAAAAATTATGGTCATACCTTTCCTACAGAGTCTGAATAGAAAGGATCTCGTGGGTAAATCACGTGCTTCCTGAATCTGATCAATCAACCCAGCAGTGGGGTGATATTACAACAGTGAATATCACCCACACAAATCACAGTGCAAACGGCTTTGACCGTTGTTTTTGGGAGAGAGTCAGAATATGAGAAATTTCTGTGTGTTTTTAGACTTGACAGGAGGGTCTCAATTTATACATGTATAGGGGAGAGAGGAAAAGCCTCCAGCCTTTATGACTGGTCATTAATGCACCATTAACCTCTGTAATAAAGGCAGGAGTTACAAACTCCATTAATGCAGGAGTTACAAACCCCATTAATGTAGGAGTTACAGTTATTAAATTCAAAGCATTGAAATGGTCATGCCACATGGGCGCCCATTTCTAACATCAATACTCAATGCTTTAGAGGATGCACCATTTTTTGTTATTTTTATACTCAAATGCTGAAGAGGATGTCAATGGTGAAGAGGATGTCAATGCTAATTCTGTTAGGAAATTTTTTTTACAAAAAAGTATGTCCACTTTTCATGTGCATGTCAATTCTGTTATATTTTCATGTCCAATTTTAAAAATAAGTACAAATCTTGTAGGTTATTCATATAAATATTGTATTGTCAAACACTTGAGTAAAACGACTGAAAATAATAAAACATAAATAACTACGATAATAATAATAATAAAAAAAAATTAATGGTTACAAAATAATTTGAGTGCAAGTGTATATGAGTTAATAAATACTCCTACCAGTATACTATTGATTCATGTAAATTAAATTCAAATGCCTATTGATTACGGCTTCATAATTTACAATGTTTGCAAAGCGTAGCATGGCTTCGTTTACCTCTACTACAACTTCTAGTACATGGCCTCGACGAATGTGTGCCTGTGGACATGGCCCCTGTATTGTTAAGATTTCCAGGTCCGCCAAAAATCCAGGGCGTCCTTACTTTGCATGTCCCCGCCTTGTGTTGAGTGACCCATTCTTGTAGGTCATAACTGTATGAACATTAACAACCCATGAAACTAATAGTTCCATAATTTGCACTCATCAGCCCTGTGTCAGTTGGATTGGTTGGTGTGAAGAACCCAGGCGAGAGAACCAAGACTATGCGTCACCCAGAGACGAATTTGTCATGCAATTATGGGCTGATGTCATAGACATTCAACAATCCTTGCGCATCCTTAAGACCATTGTGTATGTGCTATGCATTGTCGTTGTCATTTTGTTGTTCCGTATGTAAGCAACGTTACGATGTTGTCAGTATGTAGAAACATGTTAGTATGTTGTTAATATGTTGGTAGTATGTTGGTAGTATGCTTTAGTATGACTTTAAGCTGCCTTTGCCTTCCTCCACTTCGAAACGGTAGACGTATTAATGACTATCATAACTATCTCCACTACTAACTTCCATGGAACCTGTGTACATATAAAATTAATGTGCAATGGTTATATGTTGGCTAATTTAGCATCCTATCTCTCTATTTGTTGTTATTAATGTGTAATGGCTTATGAGTTTGTATATAACAACCGAATGTGTGATGGTAATCTTTTGTAACGGTACATTAGTAATGGCTTCCATCTGTACTTCTCCGCGTACCCAATCCAAAAGCAAAGGCATTGTCACTGACAAGTCAAGTCTTGAAGAGACACATAATCAGTTCAGCCACAAGGCCTCATGGGACAGTGACTCAATCCGAGTTTTCCTGCTGTTAATTGCAAATGAGATTACTAAAGGAAATCGCCCATTCCTAGTCCTCAGCCAAGCAGGGTACAAGTCCTTGGGAAGGAAATTTGAGAAAAAAATAGGAAGAAAACATGGACTCAAACAGTTGAAGAATAAGTACATGAGTTTGAAAAAAGAGTGGCAAGTGTGGACAAAGTTGATGGGTTCAAGCAAAGGAGTGTCAGGGATAAGGTTTGACTGTGACACCGGTATATTTCAGGTACCTGAGGAGTGGTAGGATAAGATGGAATCGGTAAGTACATATACAAACAAGTTTCATATTTGTCATTTACCAGTACATTTTTAACTTTTGTAGTTAAATTTTAAACAATTATTTGAAATGTAACGTCATTCTCTTTCATATATCTCTATTTCTACAGATAAAGAAGGCGTGTACCAAGTTCAGGAAAAAGACCTTGGAACATCGTGAGTTGATGGAGACGGTCTTCATGGGGGCATTAGCTACTGGTAAACACCATTGGACCCCGGGAGAAAAACTTGCTGAAGCTGCTGATGACTCATCTAATTCAATGCATAGTTTGGGAGCCCAGCCATTTGCTGATCCGATACCCGTAGGAGTACAGGACATGGATTCAGATTCTTCACTAGAGCATGTTCCGATTGAAAAGGGGAAAAGGAGAAAGACGCCATCAAATAGTGTTTCAAAGTCGAAGAAGGCAACAAGTGGAGCGTCAATTATTGTGGAAAGAATGAACAATCTGACAGATGTGGTGCGTACGAAGAATCAGCAGGTTACGGTGAGGCACCTCACAGGCAACGAATCGTTGTACACTATTTCAAAGTGCATGCATCGCCTGACGAGTATTCCATCCCTGGTTGGTACGCCGTTATTCCACTTTGCCTCAACACTTATGGATAACGCCGATTTGCGGGAGGTGCTGATGTGCCAGCTTGATGACGACTCTATCGTAGGGTGGCTTACACAAAAGCAGCTCCAGTGTACTGCGTCGGCGCCTTTTGCAAACCTGTTTGGGTCTCGCCGGATGTGATCTAGCGGTTTTACAAGTGTTGAAGATGCCTGTCCTTCTCTTGCATTATGAAAACTTTTACTTATGTTATTGTTGGCACTGTATTAAAACAGGATGGTTGTGTGTGCATGTTTTTATTCCTTCCTTTTTGTTTTTTTCTTGCTACCTATGGTGAACAAACTTTTTGTTCAGTGCATGGGTTGACAGAATGGAAGCATGGTTGTGCATGCTTTTTGGGAAATGAATGGGATGCTTCTGTTTAAATTAAATGTATGGCTATTTTTAAGACAGGAACAACAGATTTGCTTGCTAGCTTTTGTATGTCTATATTTTGCAAATTTAGCTGTTAGTTTACTTTGAGGTCAACTTTTGTGGTTGTTACCACCATGGTCCCCCTATAAATGAAAGTTGAACAGGTTTACAATTTGTACAATTCATATCATCATGTGTTACTAATGACATTGGTGACGGCATTACTTACATTAAAAACAATGTCAGCATTTTTTAATTACAATTTTTAAAATAATTTGAGTCAATGAAAGGGTTTAGGGTTTAGGGTTTAGGGTTTAGGGTTGTAGGGTTTAGGGTTTAGGGTTTGGGGTTGTAGGTCTTGGATTTCAACGAAGACGTAATAAATCCTTGGGATGGAAGCAACAATGATAGAATAACAGAAATGCTTAATCAAATGGCGGTCCAGGTGCAACAAGAACACGACTGCACATTTCTACAAGCATGCCAGTATGCGACAGAATGGTACGATAAACACATGGCTAAAACGCCATGTCGCACTTCTATACTGACCGGGAATGCATGGATATCTGAACTATATGTGGGCCATATGGGCCGATTTAAGGAAAACGTTTGCATGCCGAAGGAAGTTTTTGTCGCCTTGTGTGAGACATTAGTAAATGATTTTGGGTTACAAGTCCCACAACGTCCACATGGCTTAGCTGTTAAAGAAAGCGTTGCAATGTTTATCCATGTGTTGAAAGGGAAGCAAAATCGGGAAATCCAAGAACGGTTCCAACATTCAGGGGACACTGTGTCTCGGCACATGCATACCGTATTAACTTCCATGAAAGAGTTCACTGTTGTTCATTGCCAGCCCACATACAGTCAGCATCGTATACATCCATACGTGCGGTCTAGACGGAAATACCTTCCATTCAAGGTACTACTGAAAAACATTATTGACATATAAATAAAGAGTGTCAGCTATTTTGTTTTTATTATTAACTGGACGTGACGTATGGAAAAAACCAAACACTTGTTACCCGTTTAAGTTCAGGAAGAATTGGGTTGTTTGCAGAACTGCATTGGCGCAATAGACGGAACACATGTAAGTGCATGGGTTACGAGGCCAGATGCGGCAACATATTTTGGTAGGAAATACTGTCACACGCAAAATATCATGGTCGTAGTCGATTTTGACATGTGTTTCATATTCATTTCGTACAGATGGGAATGAAGTATGCATGATAGTCGCATATTCAACGAGATACTAACAAATGACAATGTCCCATTCCCACATCCTGACGAAGGTAACACATGGCGATGTTATTAGATTTAGGGGGTTGTAAATTTTTTCTGAAACAGCGTTACTTGAAAATGAAGCACAATGTTCATGTCTGCAGGCAAATATTATCTTGTTGATTCTGGCTATCCAAACCGGATAGGTTACTTAGCACTATTCAAAGGCCACCGTTACCACCAACAAGAATTCCGACGTATTGCACGGAACACGACGACAAACACGCTAAGGGAATTATTGAATAAAGTACACTCATCCTTACGCAGTGTGGTGGAACGCACTTTCTGTGCCTGGAAAAATCAATGGGGGTTTATTCGAGACATGCCTCGATTTGACTTTGCAAATGTGCAAGTTCAGTTAGTAGGTGCATCAATGGCATTACATAATTATATACAGCGAAAAACAGGTAACCCAACAACTGTTCACCCAATCTGTGACGAGGAAGAGGCTATGACAATAGTAAATGCCATACCAAAAGTTGAACATGACGAGAATGGTTTAATAGTTGGGGATGAGGACATGCATATGGCATTGGTGCGCCTTCACATACGCGACAAATTATGTTGCATGCGTAATAACGGAATGTTTGGAAATATATAATTGTCGACCTAATTTTCGTAGGGTACAACTAATGACACACGTGGAACAAACTGTATTCATATATATTATCATGTACAATATGTATGTGTTTACACGGGAATGTACCCCCTTCCAGTTGGTGACGTGCCTAACTTTGAAAAACCAAAATCCACAGAAAAAAGCCTTTTCGAAAAACAAAACAAGGTGAAACAAATAACAAAAAAAATAAAATAAAAATAATACAGAAATTATCATGTGCGACGTCAATTAAAAACATAAAAAACACAAGTTGAAAACAACAAAAAAATCGAAACAGACCCTCATTTTTTGTCATGTGCCACGGCAATATATGATTTTCCATATCATTTTAAATAAATGACATAAAAAAATATTTTTCCAAACAAAAAAACCAACCGAAATTAGCATTTGTCACGTAATTTACAAATAAATAAAACACATGATTAAATTCATTTGTCAAATATAAAAACAAATTAATGTATACAAATAAAAAAAATTACAGAAACGTAAATTTGAAAAAGAAGAACGACAAACATAGGCCTCATCGGAAAAAAAAAGGAAAAAAAAAAGAAAAAAACAGAAATTAGCATTTGCCACGTCATTTACAAATAAATAAAACAAGAGAAAATCCAATTTTGAAATATAAAAACAAATTAATGTGAGTGAATAAAAAAGTGACAAAATCGTAAATTTTAAAAAAATAATGACAAAAATGCGCCTCATTCAAAAACATTTTAAAAAAAAAACATGAAAACATAAATTACCATTCGCCACGTAATTTATAAATAAATGAAACACATAAATAAATAAATAAAAAGTTATTGTATACCAATAAAAATAAAGAACAAGAACTAATTAATGTTAAAAAAAAAACAAAAACATAAATTTAAAAAAAAAATTAAGCAAAATATGCCAAATCCAAACTCAAAATAAAAAAATTAAAAGAAAAAAAAATGAAGCAAAATACGTCAAATCAAAACCCAACATAAAAAATAAAAATAAAAAAAAATTAAGCAAAATACGTCAAATCCAAACCCAAAATAAAAAATAATAAAATAAAAATTTAAGCAAAATATGCCAAATCCAAACCCAAAATAAAAAAAAAAACAAAAAATAAGCCAAAAAGGACAGTTTGGTAATTTAACAGGAAGACACCTCACCAAAAAGATAAAAAGTCAAAAAAACCAAAAAATCCTTCCCAAATCAAGTTTTTTAACCCTAGGCTAAAATAACTAAAAAAATCAAAAAGTCAACCCACTACCCAAACAGAGGGTAAGGTGTCAATACTTACAGATTTCCTAAAAATTTAAATAAACACTCTGAATGGCAAATATAATCCATAATGCAATTATTATAGATGTTTAGGTATTTGTAGATATTTAGAGACTTTGGCCAAGTTTGCAAACAATAATCCTATATAATACTTTATTCTAATATTACTATATTCTCAACAAAAAAAAAAAAGGGTAACTTTTGTAAATAGTCTCAGTAGTTTATATAATGTGTCGATTTGGTCCTTATATTTTCAATTTGCTCGATTTTGTCACTTAATTTAACAAATTGTGTTATTTTAGTCCAATAAATAACAGTTGTTAAGTTAATTTAACGAAAGGTCAAACAATATGTCAATTTGGTCTCTGCACTTTACACGATGTGTCAATTTGGTCCCTGGACCAAATTGACACATTGTGAAAAATACAGCGACCAAATTAACACATTATTTGATTGTCCGTTAAATTAACTTAACAACCATTATTTATTAGACTAAAATGACACAATCTAATTAAATTAAGGGGCAAAATAGAGCAAATTGAAAATATAAGGACCAAATTAACACATCGTGTAAACTATAGAAACTATTTGCATAATTTTCCAAAAAAAAAAAAAACATGATTATGGAATTGGATTGATAATTTCATAGGTTTTACGAAAAAGTCTGTTAATTAGAAAACATGATGACTTTTATAATATTAATGTTTTACATTTGTATTCCAAATTAAAAATTTTAAAGAGTTTAAACAAATAAAAAGAAGGCAAAATTCAAAAAAGTACAAAAAGGCAAAATTGACTTACATGAGTCAATAAAACAAAATGTCACATCTATATTATAATTATTATACTTTTTCTTTCATAAAAGGCAAAAAAATCAAACCAAACGAAGTTAAAAAAATCAAGCTAAAAAAATTTCAACACAAAAAAATCAATGCCAAACGAAGATTATATTTAGATTTTTCAACTTTGCTTATAAAATTTGATAAATAATGCTTGTAAAAGTTGCCTCTAAAACAAAGAGCGTATTTCAATGATAAAATATTAGCTATACAGTGAGAGAGGGGCAAGTTTTTCAGGTGTCGTTTGGTAACACTTATGTTTTCAGTTTTCTGTTTATATTTATAAAAATTAAAAAAACTCAAATAAAAACTTGTTTGGTAAATTTTTTATTTATAAATCAGTGATCTCAGTTTATAAATTTGGCCAAAAAATGTAAACTCAAAAAATGTGTTTCCATTTTGAGTTTTCAATTTTTTTTTTTTTACCACTGAGGTTGGTTAAAAAAAAAAAAAAAAAAAAAAAAAAAAAAAAAAAAAAAAAAAAAAAAAAAAAAAAAAAAAAAAAAAAAAAAAAAAAAGTAAAAAAAAAAAAAAAAAAAAAAAAATAAAAAAAAAAATTAAAAAAAATAAAAAAAAAAAAAAATAAAAAAAAAATAATAAAACAAAAAAAAAGAAAAAAAAAAAAAAAAGAATAAATAAAAAAGACTGTAAAATAAAGATCCATAAAAAAAAAAAAAAAAAATAAAAAAAAAAAAAAAAAAAAAAAAAAAAAGAAAAAAAAAAAAAAAAGAAAAACAATAAAAAAAAAAAAAAGTAAAAAAAAAAAAAAATAAAGAAAAAAA